TTCTTCAGATACCTAAGGTTTAATTCCATAGTTACTTTTACTTAAAAAAAAAAATGCAATATTATTTCCTTGTAAGGAAAATCTACTCAAGATGTCATCAGCATCCTCAAAATTTGTCAATCACTAGTAATGGAGAATCAAAAATTGGCTTATATTGGAAGGGACCTTGAAAGATCATACAGTCCAATCTCCCTGCCACATTACTCCAAGTCCTGTACAACCTGAACCTGAATGCTGCCAGTGATGGGAGACCCACAGCTTCTTTGGGTCACTTGGTCCAGTGTCTCACCGCCCTCATCGCAAACAATTACTTCTAATAGCTAACCTAAACCTGTTCTCTTTCAGTTTAAAACTGCCCCTTGTCTTGTCTACACAGTCATTGGCAACAAGTCCCTCTCCACCTTTTTTATAGACCCCCTTTATTTATTGAAAGGCAGCAATAAACCTGGAACCTTTCCCTCCCCAGGCTAAACAATCTCAGCTCCCCTGGTTAAAGAACCTTAGCTCTTCCAGCCTTTCTTCAGAGAAGAATTGTTTCCAGACCTCTGACCATTTCTGTGGCTTTCCTCGGGGCCTGGATGCACTGCTCCAGGTGAGGTCACACTAGACATGAGCAGAGGAGGAGAGTATCATGACAGTATCTTGCTTCTCTTTGCCTCAGAGTTCCTTTGTTTCTCTACACTGGCTTTTAAAGGTTATATTTGATTTTGTTCCAAATATGATTTTACTTTAGTGAACAGATTGTTTGGCTTTTTTTGTTTTCTCCAACATCTCACAGAATCACAGAATGATTGATGTTTGAAGGGACCTCTGGAGGCTACCTTGCCCAAGCTTGCTCCTTAAACAGGGCCACTTGGAGCTCTGGACCATCTCGAGAATTCACTGTCCCTATGGCAACCTGGGTTAGCGTGTGATCATCCTCAGATTAAAAAAGTTTTCCCTGATGTTCAGAGGAAACCTCACATGTTTCAATTTGTGCCCATTTCTTCACACCACTGGGCACAAATGAGAAGAGCCTGAGCCCATTCTCTTTACACCCTTCCTTCAGGTCAATAAGATACTCTTCTCCAGGTTGAATAGGGCTTCAGTCACAGCTCTCCCAGATTTTTCTATTAAAAATTGCTCTAGTCTTTCTTATAACCCTTTTCAGGACACTGTTCCTACAAAAAACACACTTTCTATAAAATTCTATACAACCTTTTAAGGTATTTAAAATAAGAGTTAAATTTAAGATGCTTTGGGATGTTCCCTCGCCTCGCCTCGCCTCCTACTTTTCCCTTTCCCCTCCCTTCTAAATAACTAATATCTGAAGACTTATACTATTTTCTTGTAATATTAACTTTATCCTAAGACAGGTCAAAAGACCATGGGAGAGAGGCAGTTTAGGCTTTTCAGCTTTCAGGACATTCATATAACAAAGACATCCAGACAAGGCCCCCACTTTACAGTTACCTGGTATGTGACAGACCACAATTTCTGAGACTTTTTTACATCTAAACCTTTCAGTTGGGATTGACCTACAAAGGAAGAAGACCTGATATGTAGTTCTGCTGCTGCTAACAAAATAATAACCAGCCAGTTGCAAAAGTGGTGTTGGATTAGTGTCTTCACACAGCTTGCAAGTCTACAGGGGGCTCCAAAACTCTTTGCAGTGATCTGTTTTGGATTAAATTAGTGGAATGCAATTTACATCAAAAACAATTTCTGAGCATATCCATTTTTCTTCCTATACTCAATCAGGAATGAAGGAATGAAAGAAGGGAATACAGGAAGGAAGAAAAGGATGATAGTGCATTCATTGATTCATTCATCATTTCTTTTTCCATTTTCAGACTGTAAGATTATTTCATCTGCTCTCATATGAATTATAATTAATAAAATTAATAAGGTGCTTAGCCTACATTGAAAGAAAATTAATGTTATTAGCCAGAGAATAATTCTCTAAGGCATGTTACATGCAGTGACATTATAACTGTGAATGCTTTCAACATTGAATTCTGTTATACATACATCAGTATGAAGAAGCAATAGACATACATGGTCCCAAAGCTTATCAAGAGGCTTTGTATTTTGGATTTTTGACGTGGATTGTAATCATAATCTTCAGTGTTGGTTTAAGAAGTCACAAACATGAAATATTCAAAAAAGTATTTTATTAATGTGTCTTTTGGGCTTTTCTCCTCCTAGCATGATGATTGCCTTAAAATTGAATAATTGTCCTATTTGGTACTGATTTTCAATAAATAAACAAATGAAAATGAACTGGTTTTTATTTAGAATTTTGAGTCTTGAGTGGACTTTTCCATCTTACAAGAAAAGCTTTTGCTTTCTCTCTTGGAAATGGCACCTAATATCTTTCTGATTCCATCTGACTTCTCAAATAAGGAAAAATATTTCAGTTGCATTCCATTGTTCAATCTTTATGCCTTTATGTCATCACTGGTACCTGGTAGTACTTCTACTTGCAACTTCTACTCCTTTTCTACTCCTTTTTTTTTTTATTCATCCACAAGGGTCTTCCACAACATGACTCAGTCAGCAGAAAACACTGTAAATTTCTTTTAGAACTCAGTGAAAGTTCATGTATTTTTCCTACCAAAGGTCAAAGATTTCTGATGTTGTTCTATAATGTAGTTTTCAATACACTCATGTTTTCTTCATATGCTGTATTTTCTTTACTTAGGAAGTCTTGCAGCAAAGTGTTATATCTGGGCTATGTTGTTCTTACTGCTCTTGCAAGTTACATTAATCTGTGCATAAATACTAATTTTTGTCAAATGAATAAAACCTCCATTTCTGAAAAGCTTACAGTATCCACTTTTTCATTTTTTCTAGACAATTTTTTTAAGAACTTTTTCTACTGTAGACTCTTCAGAGGCATTTTCAAGAACATACTGGTTACTGACATCAGCAATACAGTGAATCAATCTACTTTCTCTGACATGGCTGATGCATTAAAACTGGACTTTTCAGTGGAGGTTAATGGAAATAAGTACTCCCTTCAACTGAAAAAAAAGTCTATTATTCTTCCAGATTCATTTGGAAATGACAGCCATGACTTTTTTTTCATCAGGCTAACAATGGAGAAGAAAGTAGCAGAGGAACTAAACATATTTTCTACATGCTGGAACAAATATGCCATCTCTCATCAAGATCTTACAAGACACAACCAAAACTGAGATCAACTGAAAAAAAAATTGTTACTTTTATACTAGCAAATGACAGTTGTGGATCTGTGGATCTGTTTCCTGATTAAGCTGGCTCTACTGTCCCTGATGCTTGTGTAATGACCAGAAAAGGACAATACCTGAGGAATCTTGTGTATCTTCTCTAAATTTGTTCTAATTTCCTATATTATCACCATTAAACTTGAATCCCTGATTTAGCCCAAGCTTTTTAAATAGCATGCTTCTGTCCTACAGTTGGTTTATTTGACACATCTCCTAAGAGCTTGTGGTCATTCTGGAAAAGAGCAGTGGTTTTCAACCTGTTACTACCTCTGCATCACTAAATAGCCTGAAACAGCAGCATGTCAGCTACCCTGCTTTCCAACTTGCTGTTTAAACCCTAGAGACTCTCTCTGGAGACTTTCCTTCCTTTGCAGCAAGGAAACAGCAACATGTAATGGCAGCAGCAAAAAAAAAAAAAAACAATTAGGCTGGAATAAAGTAAATAATGCACAACAGGAAAAAAAACCCAGGAAATCAAACACAGACAGTAAAACAAGCTAATGTCCAGTGGATTGCTATAATGTGGATGCAAACAGAAATTATAACATATGCATTCTTTAATCTAATGCAAGTACCCAATTGACCAAATGCTGGTGGCCACTGATAGACATGGTAAAGATTCAGGGTTGACAGAACTGGAATAAAACAAAACTTGCTCTCTCTTTACAAAACATGATTTACAGAAGAGTATTGTTCTGTTATCTCCTATATTGAAAATCCTTCCTAAGCACATTACAGCTTCCCACAACAGTTCTCCCCATTCCTACAAATACTGCAATAAGTACATTACAAATCACTAAGTATGCTGTGCTGCCTTTTTCCCACTCTTTCTTTAACTAGACTTCCTGATGCAAAATATGCAAAGAATACATGTTTAACTGCTCATGCTGGCATAATTTATGCAGGCACCAAAGTTAAATATCTGTTTATAGCAATTAAGTCAGAAAGCTTTCTTGAAGAAAGACAATTTGCATTGACTTGTACTGAGAAGAGAATCAACTTGGGGTTTACAGGAAGGAGGACCATAAAGTCATCTTTAGTGCCTACAGTACTGCTTTTCTACCATATGATTATCTACAAATATGAACTGTTACTTGTTTTCACAGGTGATTATCTGTGAAATCAGAGAAACACTTCTATACATCTAGATATACAGGAAGCCTGCTGAAAGATTTAAGGACCAATTCCTCTCCAGTCTCAGAGAGAATGGAAGGCTCTAAAAGTCAAGTTCATTTTTTTGGACTATTCTTCATAAACAGAAGTCGATCTCATCTTAGTGATTTCAGTAATACAGAGAACTCACTGAAATAATTAGCAAACTAGTTTTCCCAACAGTGCATATTATATACTTAATTCGAAAATATTTTGATTCTGATATAATATGGTCACTTTTTAAAATAATAGATTGTTTTATAAGGATAATTTGAATATGCAAGATGCATTCAGAAGCTCAGAGGGTTGGATTTAACTACTCAGCTTCAGAAGTCCACAATTAGATATCCACATCTCTGCTAAGTCCATGCTGAATAGACCCCCTTCACAGTGAAAGAAGGGAATTTCTTTTGTAGGACACAATAAATTTGGCAATAAAGTAGATATTACAAAAGTTGAGACTATTGTGCTTTCTAAATGACTGTTTCTTTTCCCTAAGTATAAAGGACAAGTATGACAGATATTCAATAGACACAAATCACTGGTCTCAATTTGGTGAACATGAACACAAGCCATCATGAATTCCTTCCACTGCTTTTAGAAGCACATGTAACATACCTACACTCCAGTCCATTTCCTCCACTGCATCACCATATAAACCATGCTTGCTCTTTCCTTTGAAATTTTCTGAAGCATATAGAGCAGTATGGACGTGAAGATAAGACAGGAAAAGAAGAAATGGTGTATCAGTGTTCCTGGAAAACAAAGCAAAACAAAACCACAAACTCTTAGAGTATTCTATAATCTTTCAAATAAATCCTTCTTCAATAGAGTTTTTTTAAAAAGGCTCCCTGTACCTCTCAAAAAAACAGACACCAAAGCAAAAAAAAAAGCTGAAAAGGAATAATGTAATTGATTACAGGATAATTCTGAATAAACACACACTCAGGAAAAATGCCACTTTTTTGTGCAAAAATAAATGACAACATCTATCTTAATACTATTTGTGATATATATTGGAAAAGGACTTGTTGTTCAAAGGCAGGAATCTAGCAGTTTCTATATACAAACATCTCTCCACATTTTACAAGGATATTTTTAAAAACCTGAATACAATTTCTGTGCAAAAACATAGCCTCAGCACTACATATTCATGTGAAATACAATTTCCTTCCTCACAAAGTCACATGGAAGCTGATCAGCTAAACTGTTATGGGGACCTGTGTCTTTATTCTAGACTAAGGTATATGACCAAACCTCTTTTCTTTTAAAGCTCTGTATGTGTATGAATGTGACTCTACATAACCTCAAAGTCATACCAATATAAAACTTTTTGTTCTCAGAGTAATGAACAGTCTCCATTGTCTTCTGTCTATTTCCTAAACAGACACAAAAGAAAGAGTGCAATAAATAGACTCTCTGTAAATTTTGCTGTTCATGTGATCTGTCAACAGGATATTTACGATCAATTCCAGCAGGCTGTGAAAGCACAGCTCAAACAAGTACTTCTGCTTATGCATTATTTATACTACTTTATTTAAAATTGTGCCATCCTAGCCAAATTTACTGCTATATGCTCTAACAGTACTTGCAGTACATTATGCATATTGTAAATATCAGCTGAACCACAAAAGCACTACCCACAAAACTTGTCTGGATCTCACCTTAAAGCACACAGCTAATTGCAGATTACTTTTATTTTATTTATCATAGTTTCCCCCACCAAGCTGTGGTGGGTAATACCTGTGAATCACATCAACATCAAATGGAGACCATGTATTTCCTCAAGCAATTGGTTCATCCACCCTTTAAAGAGGGGAGGCCCAATACAGGCATGCTCATAAAAATCACTTCTTCAAAATTAGCAAAAAAATCCTAACATTTAGAACTTCAAAACAAAGTTTTTTTTAGTACAAGATATTAATCTGATATCAATACTTTCATGTTAAAGAAAAACAATTAAGCTTAATTTACTATATTTATGATCCATTTTCCTCTCTCCTTGGTTGGATCTGTTTTTTTCACAAGTTGAATGATTAAAGCTTTTTTTTCTACTGGCACATACAGTAGTAGATAAACACAGAATAATTTTTTATCCATATTAATCACTTGATTAGTGTGTTTCTGATGGGGATTTTTTTCTTCATAAAAAAGTTCTCATTTTTTTAGGAAACCCAGAATAAAAAACGTTCTTCATGTGGAAGATTAATAAAAAATATTTTAATTATCTCACAAAAATTTGTGCATAAATACTGTAGTAGTTTATTAATATAAAGTAGTGATCCAAAACATTTACGACATGTTTTTCATAAAAGATACACTTTCCATGAAGTTGTTTGTTGCTATTTGAAAGGTCATATATGTGAGAACTTTTCACAATTTTAGCAACAAATAACAAGAGATCCCTGAGTCAATGAAAAAGGTTGAAAATATCACCAATTGAGGTAAAAAAAGACATATACCTTAAAGTTACTTATTTAATATATACATAAATCTAATACCGACCTCTCACTAGAGAACTTTATTTCAAGGCAGATGATTTTTGTTTTACAACTTGCATTTTTAGTTCCTGGGATTATTGTTGACTTTTTCCTTAAACACAGTTCACTGAATTGAGATTAATATACAAATTCTAGGGTAAAACACCACAAAAAATTATTTTGTACCTTAACACTGCTGGCTATATTTAGTTTACATGCAAACTACCTTGTTCTAATGCCATAGAGACACTACATTCTCATAACTGTCTTCTTGTTTTGCTAAAAGTATCAACAGCTTCCATTACAAATGTTATTTTCAAGACATAATATTCAAGTTTGTTTTGTTTGTTGAATTCACAGAAAAGATCTAACTTTCATGAAAAGTCATCAGATCAATGATTGATATGGAAGGGCACTACATCATTCTCTTTTTTCCAACTAAAATTGACAGCTTTTGATTGACAGCTTGCTGTCGGGTGGAGAAGTGTCTCACCCATTAATATCCTCTAAAAGATCAGAGGCAGCTATTTATCTCCTGCCAAAACACTTTGAGAAGAATCATGACTAAATACCTTTACTCTGACCTTGAAAATGGAATGACAATACCAGCTAGGAGGCAGGAGAGAAATTTGACAATAACAGCTTAACTCCTGAACCACTTCAAAAAACAGCTCTTTCAAAAATGTATTTCCACTATCTTTTACACAGCCCAAACACAGAGAATCTCCTTTTCAAAAAATTTGAGATTTTTTATCCTCACATGAGTTACACAGTTTTTTCAATTTATCAAGTAGCTAGAGAGATTACACACATCTGACATAAGATATTCTTCAGGGTGCTTTTAATGCATCTTGAAAACATCTTAGAGCATCACATTGCTGGTGACTCGTCTGCATTGCAAAGTACCGGGTTCTTCTTTTGTATAGTGAGGTGTCTTTATGTTACTCAAGGATTCAGCTCAGGCTTGAGCTATAAAAAACAGCTTTAAAGTGTGTGAGAGAGCAATTAAAGCTAATCTGACTTTGTGCTTCAAACCCAAGTCTTTTAACTTTTTCCCTGCAAATCTGCTTTAAATGCTTGCTGCTCTGAAAACTCCTTGGGCAATTGCTGGCTTTTCTGTGCACTTAAGTGGCACAGTCGACACATTGCAGGGAAGGAACACCACCCAGAGGTGCCTGGACAAGCTTGAGATTTCGGCCCATGAAAATGTAATGAAGTCAACAAAGCCAAGTGCAAAGGCCTGCACCACAGTTAGGTTAATCCCAAGCACAAATGCAGGCTGGATGAAGAATAGATTTGGAGCAGATTGGGGAAGGACTTGGGAGTGTTGGTTGATAAGAAGCTCCATATTAGCTGGCAAAATATACGCTTGCAGCCCACAAAGCCAACTGTATCCTAGGCCTCAACAAAACCAGCATGACCAGCAGGTAATCCTTGAACAATTCCAGGGATGGGGCATCTGCAACTGCTCTACCTGTTCCAGTGCTTCACCACTCTCAGAGTAATGAATTTCTTCATAACATCTCATCTAAACCTGCCTCCTTTCAGTTTAAAACTATCACCTGTCAATATCTGTCCTTATAAAAATTCCCTCTTCCCCTTTTTATAAGCCCCCTCAAGGTACTGGAAGGCCACAGCTAAATCTCTCTTGAGCCTTCTCCATGCTGAACAACTTCAGCTTTTTCAGCCTGTCCTCAGGTATGAAACTCAAAGGAGTTTCATCCCATTGATCATCTTCTTGATCCTCCTCTGGACCCACTGTAAGAGGTCCACATCTTTGTTGTGCTGAACACCTCACACCTAGACGCAGTACTCTAGGTGAATCACCACTGTGTCAACACAAGCAGATAGAAACATAACATTTCCTTTTCTGCCATTTTCCCTCAACTAAAAAAATTCTTCTTATTCAGTATCCCCCCAGTGGATAAATTAATTAGTGCTTATTCCCCACAGATGCCTTCTCTACTTCCACATTATATCACCAGTAAGACAGTGCTCTTTGTGATAGCAGTGGATGAATACACTTCATTAATCTTGCTCCTGCAGGAGGAAAAGCCAAATTTTGGCTCAGTTGTGCAAAAGCAGGACTATTCTATATGCTGGATTTTGTTTTGTTCTGACTGCTAACAGTGCTAAAATTCTTGTTAGTCTGGATCAATTTATGAATGAATGTTTCTGTTCTGCTCTTTTAAAATATACACCTTCAAACACATTTGCCATATTTTCAATTTTTTTCAAAATCAGAAAAAGAACTCCATAACTTGTAAGAACCATAAAAGGTGTTGAAAATGTAACAGAGAGAGAAGGAAAAATGCAAATATATTTGAGCCATGTAAAATGTAAATATATTTTCTGGCTCTTATAAATATATAAGAGCCAGAAAATCTGACTCTTTCTAGTAGATATTATAAGTAGAATTTTTTTACCACTATATCTGCTTTTTTGAAATAATTCTTCTATGCCAATAGGTAAGATGCTTCTACTTTTCCAATTTCATGTCTTCATTGCTTCCTTTAAATACTTAAGGTAAACACTTATGTTTTTATTTCCTTTCTATACAACCTTTTTCTCCCCCTCTGAAAGAAAATTTTGCAAGCATGGAGAAAAAAAAAATATCATCCAGTACAAGTTAAACTCATTACTAAACCCTCTCATCCACAAAGCTTTTGAGTCCAGCATACAGATCCACCTCTGTTTTAGAAGTGTCCCATTGACCATTCAGTCTGCCAATCACGGCAGAACTAGTGAGGACTCCAACAATTCTTAAATGATCTAAAGATTTGGAAAGTCCTATATGAACCCACTCCTTCTTCCTGTTACCTTCTTGTTCAAAATGCATAATCAGAGGTCTGGGAGAAAATGCACGAAGACCTAGTAGAGTTGTTAGAGCTTATAAATTACTACATTTTCTAATATATGCACACATATATATTATATGCATACAAAGATACACAAATTCTTCTCTATAATTTTTATTTTGCTGTAACTATAAGGAATATTCTTGTAGGATTCATAAAAACACTGGATTTGAGAACTGTAACTTCAGTACAACATGACACATGGAAAAACTCTAATGATACATGGAAAAACCCTAAACCACAGTCTGCTACAGTAGCTAACAAAGAATTTGAACAGGTGTTGCAACAGTGTTTCAAGAACTAAAATAGAATAGATAAGAAGAAAATTTACAATTTATTAACTGTTATAAAATGTTGAACATTATGCATATGCAATCTATGACTTGTAAAACTAGTCAAGAAGATTCAAATTCACCTTCACCACAGTTTTTAAATATAATCATGTTAGTATTTAAATACTGTTTTAAAGAAACCAGATTTCATTAGACTTTTAAAAAACATTATTATTAGTTGTGATCAGGTGTAGAAATTTCTCAGAGAGGTATTCTGTATCACATAGGGGTATTTTTGTGTTGTTAATTTCTGATGCGCCAGAAAACAGACCCTGGCATTTTGCAAAATTGGATTTTCTGCGCAGCTGGTCATTGAAAGGCATGCTGAAGATGTATGAGCGACAACCACATTGAATTTAACATGAAATAAGTAGCACCCATTTGACTTTCAAATACATTGTAATACCAACAGAGCATTCTGTTAGGTTTACGACATGTAAACACTTCCTCTCAGGAAAAAGCAATTAGAATTAACATACACAGCGCTGACCTGCCCACTGACAATTAGGGTAAGCAACTAAACTACTACCTGTTTTCACACACCAGATCTGACACATGTAATTGCATACATTCTTCTCCAGTGCCATTTTTGGGCATTGAATTTTGTATTTGCTCTCTTTCAGTCTATTAAGGAACAAACAAAAATTGTAATATGCACACACTGGATTAAGGAAGATAAAATACAATATCACCTTTCTAAAGATCAGACCGAAGTAAGCACAATAGCACATAGCTGTACACTATGAAGACATGATAAGACTATAAAAATACAAATTCTAATGATTATATAGAATCACAGGCCAAAATTGGCCATCCAGCAGTCTGAGGTAGTAGTTCTGGAAGACCTCTCTCCTTATTTTGCTAGGAATCACAAACTCTCATTTTGTGGTCTCTGTGCCAAAACAGCCTCCAGCCACCACAGCACCCACCAGTCTTTCCCTGTTCACAAGAACAGGTCCAGCACCTCCTCAGGTTGGCTCACTCACCAGCTAAGTCTTCCATACACCCCAAGAACCACTCACATAGTTTCCTGTCCACTGCAATGCATTTCCAGCTCTGGTAAGCTGAAGTTCCCCACATGAACAAAGGCCAGGAATTGTGAGACTTCTCCCAGCTGCTTACAGACTATTTTGTCTTCCTCTTCATCCTGTCTGGGTGGTCCATGACATACTCCCACCTTGGTATCTGCCTTATTGGCCTATCCCCTGATTCTTACCCATAAACACTCAAACCTATCACTACCATCATTAAGCTCTGCTCTGGATAATCAAAACACTCCTTAACATAAAGGTCTATCCCATTGCCTCTCCTTCTTTGCCTATTCCTTCTGAAGAATCTGATGCTTATACAAGAATCTGATGCTTATACAAACTGAAAATTACTGAGAAACAACTAGAAAAGAGAATGTCTGGAAGTCCATGACCTGAACTCTGAAGAACTTCTAGAGATAATGAAGGCAATAGGCAAACAAACTTACATAGATAAAACATTGGAAAATTAATATATGTTCATATATATTGGATATAAGTATAGCATAAAAAAAACTTTACAGGAAATATCAGTGCTGGTGAAGATTGGAGCTTCATCATATATTTATTGTAAAATTATTTAACCAACTAAAAGACACATGATATCTGATAATTTTAATTTGATGATGAAATGTGTATTCAGAACCAGGTAAGGTGAAAGCTTGAATTCTTTAACTTCAGGATTGTTTGCTCTCAGGTATAATTGTACACAAGGATTAACAGCGTACATGACTGAGTTTGCTACTTAATGTGTCAGCTAAAGAAAAGGAGACTGTGTGACAAGTTCAGTGTTCAAACATGTGGCTAAAGGGCTGAAAGAACTGGAATGACAAGAATGCTGCTAAGCACCGTGACTTTCAAAATACTTGTGGCCCTTCACTTCTACAACCCATTTACCTCTTGGTGGCCATTTGCCTACAAATGGCCAAAGTCAATGGATTATTCATAAAAGCAATGGTCTACTGATGCTCTGGATTTAACAGGTATGAACTCTATCATGTCAGAACTAGTGTGTCAAAGCAAATATTGGTTTTGCTGCTAACACTAACACAAGGGGCAGATCAGTTCAGTGAATATTAATCCAATTACTCATATCCCCAAGAGTAAGGTTTATGGTCATATACTTTGCATGTGCATTCATTAAAGGGCACAGTTAAGATTGTTCAAATGCCCTAATTGTTTCTCAATACTTTAACATGTTTGGATATTCTCTAATATAACATTGACTATGAAGAGTCTGGGTTATAATTCTCACTGTAATTGCAGCACTCCTGTAACAAAGTTTGTTGTAAATTATGAATATGTGCTATTAACCTTGACTTCAATTTAACATCAGCATTGCCTGAAAACTACACTGACATTCGAGGCCAAGTGTCTAAATGATGTAAAATCACTTACCTCTAGCTGGGTCAACAAAGCTATGCTGACTTAGATTACACATTATTTTGCCAGCTCTAAACACTGGGGTCAAACAGCAGCACTAATCTACAGGGTAACACTGCCTACATAACACATATTAATACAGTTAAAAGAGTCACTAGCTTTCCACCATCGATTTCCATCTTGAACTCACCTATTTTGAGGCAACCATTTTATTGTCATGGCATTGAAATTAGCGAAACATTAATAGATACCCATAACAGTATCACTACCGGCGCTTTATATACTTGCAAATAGTGGAAGAATATGCCAACAAATAGTTCATGTACTTGAGAGTCTTTTGAAATCACCAAATGCTTGGTCACTAAGCAAGTAATCTTTTAACAATTTTCAAATGTGTTTGTTCATGTGTTTGTAATAACAAAGTACTTCACTGTTAAATTATCTACAATGTATCTGAGAAGACATCTTTATATTTATCCCCATCACCAAGAGGAAATAAAGATGGCTGAGTTAATTTATAAATACTTATGGAAATGCTGATTGTTGGGAATACTTACTTATTTAAGGAAATTTGTTATAAAAGCCATTTTTTCAGTATAATATGTAAAAACAGCAACATCAAATATTCATAAGGATGGAAATGATAAAAAATTGCAGTATGAGATCAAGATTTTAGATAAACATTTTTTCTTGCTAACAGCTAGAAGCAGCTGCTCTGTAAAGTCATTAAGTCTACAAAATTTAGCTGCAGATTCCTGGTATGTGTTTTCATCCAGCAACAACACCATTTGCATGTATTCACAGAAACTAATGCTACATACTTTAAAGAATAGTAATTCAGGGGTGTTGAATAGAAATTCAGGATAATAGTAATTCTATATGTTACAATATGATTTTATCATGATTTAGTATTTTTAAAAATGCTATAATTTGTGTCAAAAGTGGTGGAGAAAAATACATACACATATTTTTTCCAGAAGTTAAAATGAATAAATATTTTTTTCTATAAATATATTGATTTCTATTTTAGAATATACAAATGTATACTTTTTTGACTTAATCCCATTAAGAGCCCTTTGGTAACAATTACAAAGTAACTGACCTAGCAAAAATGAATCATGACTTAGGATGGTTTTGTAACCCATGTTTAGGTGGCCCAATATGATGGCTATTAAAAACACTGTTTTCAAAACACCCTTTTGTTTCACAGAATCACAGAATGGGTAAAGTTGGAAGGAACAATAGTGGGATCATCTGGCCCAACCTCCCTCAGGGTCATCCCAGAGAACATGGCTCAGGATTATGTCCAGACGGTTCTTAAATATCTCCAGTGAGGGAGACTACAAAATCCCTCTGGTTAACTGTTCCAGGGCACTGTCACCTGCACAAAAAAGAAGTTCTTCCGCTTGTTCAGCTGGAACTCCCTGTACATCAGCTTTTGCCCATTGCCTCTTGTCCTATTGCTTGGCACTACCAAGCAGAGCCTGGGTCTGTCCTCTTGACACCTCCCTGCAGATACTTATGTACAGTGATGAGGTTCTCTCTAAGCTGTCTCCTCTTGAGGCTGAACAGGCCCAGATACCTCAGCCTTTCTCATAACAGAGATGCTCTAATCCCTTAATCAACTTTATTGCCCCCCGCTGGACCTCCTCCAGGAGCTATGCGTCTCTCTTGTCCTCAGGATCCCAGAGCTGGATACAACTTTTCAGATGTGGCCTCACCAGGGCTGAGCAGAGGGCAGGATCACCTCCCTGCTGGCAATGCTCTCCCTAATGCCCCCCAGGCTCCCACTGGCCTCCCTGGCCCCCAGGACCCACTGCTGGCTCATGGACAGATGGTTGTGCACCAGCACCCCCAGGTCCTGCTCCACAGAGCTGCTTTCCAGCAGGTCACTCCTAGCCTGTCCTGGTGCCTGGGGTTACTCTATCCCAGGTGCAGAAGCTAGCACCCTAATTTTGGAAAATCAAATATTCTCAAAATTACTGTTATAAAAGTGGAGTCATCAAAAATGCCAGTATCTTAACAAATTAGCCATATGAATGCCTTTTAATGGATGTATCAACTCAATGATGAAGAACATCTCTCCATTCCAGAAAAGTCATGAATTATGACTCTACATTGTGCTTTCACAGAATTAAGTCACACCACGAAATATTTTTCATATTTCAATTTACATGAAATTCTTAAGAATAAAACATTTCCCTTTCTATAGAGAAATTAGCTACATACCTGACAGGAGGAAACCAAACAGTCATTCCTACCAACAAGATTAATGTCATCTTTTAAAGGAAAAAAATTACAATCACATATATTACAACATATTCCCTGTGCCCACCAGCTCACTTTTTTTATTAATTTTCAGGAGCACTGTCATCATGAGATGCCAATGTTAACTTACAACACAGTTAGAAACCTACCTTTCAATAAACTTCATGGCTTCTTTTGTCAGTCTCTGAGTAAGGTTCTCATAGGACAGTGGCTGCTGGATAATCTGATGGTCTCTCATTAAAAAGCAGTTTAGTTGTCGAAAATGATAGAAGAAAAAAATCAAAACCACAAGTGAAATTGTGATTATTAACAAGAAGTAACCCAGTGCTTGAAAGGGTACTTTGAGAAGGCCAATGTACTGCACTACTGCCAAAGACACAAGGGCGATTCCAGTGATTTGGACTGGGATGACAAGGTCTCTCTGAATACCTTTTAAAAATACACTGCCTTGGCCAGGTTTGCAGTCTCTAAAATTGGTCACGGGAAGGCCATAAAAGTAATCAAATCCATGACTGAGGGGGTGGTGACAGAAGTCATTACTGCTTTCACAGTTCATCCCAAGATGCCACTTTCCTACAAAGAGAGAAGGACAGGGAGTATTTTTGTAGTTAAATCATCAAAGTTACTTTTAATGTGCATTATTTAAAACATAAAGCAGTCACTATCTGGCTGATATCCCCCTGCTCCCAGCATTTACTGTGTAGATCCCTATTTTCTATTGAAAGTTTCTTTGTGCCTCCATCAAAGATTTATTTTTCTTGTCTCCCTCTTCATCTCAGTTAGAAATAGATTAACATGGCTGCTGCTGATGAACATTAAATTCTGAGTGGGCTAGCAGATCATTGAAGAGCAGCAGAGCTCTAACAGACAGTTACCTTTGGAAATTAGGCATGTGTAGTTGTGATAAGATAATACTGTTTTGTAGCAGCTACTGATTGAAGAGGAAGAACAAATATAGAAGTACAAAATATATTTTCTGAAGTTTTTCTGGCAAATAATTTGAATAGTTAAAAAAAAAGCCAAAATAATAATAAGAAAACAGTAACAAATAAAAAATAAATCAAGAATAGGAAAATTATTAAAGCATTTATTATTTAAATGATTGTGAAATATCTGAAATTGCCAACATCCCTCAAAATACACACATATATACAAGGCTGATTATTTTGTATTTATATTTCATATATATAAATAAAAACAACAGTAACAAGTAAATTGCTGTCAAATATTCTCTCTCATAGCATTTTGTACCACTAGGAAATCACTCTAATTCTGCAATAATGTTGGACTCTGTCTGACCACTGAGCCTGATTTGCATTATACTAATACAATCTATATTCATGTTGATTATGGTAAGTATCTGGATAATTCATTCTATGACTCAGGTACAACCTCTTACCACATGCTTATGCATTGCTTAGCACAACAGACCTAACTGGTAGCTGCTATTTGAATAAAATGCATAATTATAAAAAAAATTCAAATTCAGTTAAGCTTATTGAGCTAGCTTATGGATAGAGCTAGCTATTTTTGCTCTCAGCAAGAAAACATGCTGAATATTTTAAAAAAGCATGCTGGCCTTGACAAAACAGATCACATAATATACTGCTGGGCCAAACTTTATTTATTTTTCTGAATCAAACACCTAAACATGACCAGCATAATTCAGGGATTGTGATTGCAAAAGAAATAAACAAGAAAAAGTACAAATCCAGTAAGTCTTCATTCCCATAACTTGCCCCAAAGAAATCTGAAATACTTATTTCAGAGAATTCAAAATATTCATGGCAGTAAATGTAAAACAGAAAAAAAAAAAGCATATACAGAATTTGTCCCCTTTTTCAAACCAAGCCGGCTTTTACACAACTGTAAGAGAGCCCTGATGCAAACAGTTCTGAACATCTCCTTCTGGGTCTCCAGAACAATGTATTCATCCTGCACTTTTTCCTTTGGCTGTGACAAATGCAGGTTCTGCAGTACCAAACAGGGTAAACATGGGGATCAGTTCTGCTTTTTTAAAATTCAGCAAAACTAGGTGGATGTTCTTATTTCTCTTCTACTAATGAGATGAGAATGTCATATGCCTAAGGTTGTCTTTCAGCAAAGGTGGAGAAAAAGCAAAAATCTTGAATCTGAGTGCTTAGTTGAGTGCAATTGTCCTCAATATATATCTTGATGGTTGTAAGTTAAAAGTAACTTCTGTATATCACCAAAGCAGGTATAAAACATTTTCAGGTCTGCTTATGTGCCAGTGAAATTAAGGCCTCTACACACTTCTCATTCCATCAGAACTTTTCCCTGTCAGATAGCCCCTCACCTGAAGTGGTATTCTGCTGGTGGTATTCTGCACAGAATGGTTCTGGTCACTACTTTGGACATGGTCCAGTAAAAATTACTGTGGACAGTTAAAAAAAACAAGCAGTACACACCATTTTACTGAAATGTAAGAAGTTATAATGGTGCTATAAAGGGCTAGGTAAGGCTGGAACTCTGATTTTCATTCCCAGCACCCAAAGATGCAGATTTTTGAAAAGAAATGTTTCAATTTTTCTCTCATATTTGAATGAGTCTCTTAATGCAATAATTATAAATCAGATGTGTAACACAGTGAGCATGAAAGAACTGTTATCAAGTTGGATAAGTGATTTAAAGGTAGAGTCTTATAATCATGAACATAAATGCTCTTCTGGCTTAATATTTTTTTTCTTTGCTATTATATGTTAATCTCAAAGTAACTATAATTCAGCAAGAAAATATGAAAAAGAAACAAAAACAAATTAAGTATACCTTCACGGTGACTTTTTATGATATGTAGTGGATTTTTTAACTGGATCTCAACTACAATGCAGGATAGAAAAACCTACCAATAACAAATTAGGGCAGGAGGAAATATAAGTCCTATTTTTATCTAAAGGGCTTCTTTAGCAAGTACAACGAATAGTTCAATGTCAAGACAAACTTGGGCCTCAGAAAAAGATTTTTTGAGAAGCAACTTAAGCCAAGCAAAGCAGAGATCAGGTTAGCAAGAAAAGCAGCAAAAGCACCCCCCCTCAAATGATATCGGGAGCTGTGACAGAATGACACAACTGCCATTCTCAAATGGCTGGGCAGGTAGAAGGTTTTGATAGACCCTGCATTACTCTGAAAAGGCAAGTGATGGCTGGGTGCACAATACATGTTTTGCTTCACTCCTTGTGGCAATAACCCCTGCCTTGAGCTAGTGCTTGAACAGATTACTGTAATGTGCTTTAGATTCTGGGGCCCTTCTGAATCTGAGAGCAATGCAAAATGCTCTCATCTCTTTGCCAAGTGATGCTTCATAGAATGGACACTTCACATAAGCATCATAAGCATTTCAACAGATTCTACCAAGCTTTGGAGTGAAATTTATGCTGTTAATTGTAAATTATGAGTACCGTAATAATTTGAGACCTAGGCTCTTTTCCCTCTCCATCAGCCACAATTAAAACTTCTGCAGAACGAAAGCAATGCAATGAAAGACAAGTGGAAGTGAGAAGCAAGTCCTATTCAGCCAAGAAATTTCACTTGAAGCTCCATTTTTCAAAATCCAGAATCCTAAGGACACTACAAAAATCCATGTTTCCCCTGTATTTTTCCCTCAGATAGCAGAAAAAGGAAAAATACTGTAGTGGTTTTGGTACAAAGACTGATTTTTATGTAATGATATATTTCTTTTGGAATGATTCTGTGCTTTTCAGATAAATGGCAAGATACAAGATGTGGAGCAAGATGTAAACATAAATATTTTATGTTCTTAGGAAATATATTTATTTGAAGTACACAGCAAAATTTATAAAAACTGTATGTACATATGGTATTCACACGGACAGATTTTAGGCTGTTTTATGAATAACTGTTGTACTAACTCCACTCCATACACTCAGTCAATCTTGGACACCTTACTACTGTGATTTGCCCAAACATTAAAATACTTAATTCTGAAAGAAATAAGTACCAGTCATCAATTAGTATTTTAGCACTGGAGATAAGCTACATAGGTGGATTTTAAACTTCTCTGGATGCTGGACAACACACTGGATAGCACCAGTGAGAAAATGAACCTTTACTGTAACTGAGTATAGCAGCAGTTAAAACACTATCTATCAAATGTAAGGGGAATTTTTGCATTATGAATAGCTATTTCCAACAAAACATCAGCATTTCTTCCAACTGGTGAAATATTATGTATTCTATGCATCTGCTTTTTTTGATAGAACTTCGTTTTGTTGCAGATCTGATTGTGTGCCTTCCTGACAGATCTATTGGTTGTCACCTTCTTTATGTCACAGGGGAAAACAATGAGGTAGAAAAGTGTATACATAAAGTAGATTTATAGATAAAATATATTTTGGGACATATCAAACAAAAAAAAAAAAGCACATATTCAGAGGAGAAAAAAACATTTAAAAAGAAACAAAAATGCACCTAGGGAAGAAAAATACTGTCATCAGAGAAGAGATTCACCAAAAAAGTAGAAATGACACTACAGGCTTGAGGATCAGAAAGGCTTCAAATTAACCTTATGCCAATCCATCACTGGTGCAGGATTTGACAATTAGCTCTTTGGGAATTGCTGAATTAGATTGAACCAAGCAAAGACTCCCTGACCTTGACCAATATGATGTGATAAGAACACCAGCAAAAGCAGAAAATATGCTGGTTGTGAATCAGACTGTCTATCTGGTCTTCAAATCTACACAATTTTTCTTTCTATCATTTACATATGCTTTATCCCTAATTTTAATGCACTTCTTGATTTTTGGAAACCTTCATTATACTCTAAGGATATGGTAATATTACATTTTGTGGTCTCATAGCTATCACTCAAGCCACTTGGAAGAATTGTTCATTAAGCATCATGGAGAGAACTTCTGGAGATCTAAGTGGCAAGCTGTCATGCTGCTGTAAAAGTAGTTAAAAAAAGAACATTAACTGGGTCAGGCCCAGAAAATGAGTTGTATTACTGTGCTTGTTACAAACAGAAAAAAACCCAGTCTTTAATTGAATACAGAGAAATAGAAATCAAGTCCACAAGGAACATGACAAATTGTGAACAGCTTTTTTGTTCAAACTATGAACTATTTGAACTATGGTTGAAATACACGTACATTAAATACATTTCTGATAAGAATTTCTGGTTTTCTATTTTCATTCTTTCAGGACATCATGGTATTTTATGCTTTATAAGACTGAGATATAGCTAAGTAGGATTTTTAGTTAGAATGCTGACACTGGTTTATCTACACAATACAGACATTTTCTGAACACTGGCATGAATGGTTAGCCTTGCTAAACATCCTGGGTTTTTAAACAAAAATTACTCTCAAAATTGCAAGTTTCTGTTTAATTTAAAAAACAAATTGCATGCATCCTTCATCTAAATCAATTGAGTAATATTTCAGTGTGATGTTCTCTGCACAACTATTCCCTGGCAATTTCAGTACAGAAACACATTATGTAATACAAATTGAACTTCTCAAGACTCTTCTAAAATATAAGCAGTGTGCAATAAGTCAGTGGCCAAATTAAGAAAAAAAATTCAGAAATCTTTAATGTTATACTTTTATGACATTAATTCCAATTCTATTTAATATTTATCTAGTGTGATTCCTTTTGCCCATCACTGGATATTTATGCTGTGATCAGTTGTCTGAACTATCTTTATAATAAGAGAGGAATACATTTTCATATGAAACATCTACCAAATGATATGAAAGATTTCCTAGAAAAATCTATTTTTGTCTGATGACTTAGATGGTAACCCAGATACAGCGTTATTTACTGTATGAGAATTTAAACACTGGTGAAAAACAAGCACGGTGCTGACTTGTACCCATGTGATCAACCCCTCATTGTCTCTCTGATGTAATCAAAGTCCTATTTATGCTGAAAACTTTTCAAGAGCTTGAATAATTTTCAGTTTGTTCATCACGTTTCTTCAGTACTGTGCAAAATGAGACTATAACTACACAAGTGAATTAGACATACTTACCTGACTAGTGTTTCACACAGGCATGGGAATGTCCTCAGCTTTGTTCCAGAAAAATAAATTCATTATGCTGTGGGGCAGAAAAGCTTAATGCAGGCCCCTAAAAGCCTATACAGGAAGTTAATGTTCTTTTCATTGAAATGAAAGGAAACAGAGCTGCACATGTCTGCAATTTTACCTATTAGAGCTGTTGCATAACCTTTCTGCTTCAGGAGTTTGGGAAAAGTTATTTCTTCAGAAGGAAGTCCCCCAGAAGAGGCAGAAAATAAGAAGACACCGACACGTGAGAAGGCAGCCATTCCTAAACACAATAAAAATGAATGAGACCAAGATAATACAACGAAAGAATTTCCATTCATTAATTCTGCATGCAGTTTTTTGCCTTAGGTGGTATCATTTAAATGACATATTACAATCAAGACACTGTGTTGCAAGTGGAAGATACAATCATCCATTTAGACGAGCGAGGTATTTCCTGTATTGACACCAGAAACAGACATGGAGAAAAAAATTCTGAGTTTATAACCATGGGGTCAGCCATCACATAAAGAGCTGCAGCCCCTTCTGTAGATTTTCTAAGGTGTGGCAAAATTTTAAGAAGTTGAGCTTGCATAATTTATTTTTCCTGTACCCAGGGAGGGAAGGAAGATGAGGACTAAGTGAGATCACACCCAAGTTCTAGTTTGAGAATTTCCCCTGTCCTCATATGTGGTTTTCTACAAGCCTTTAAGGTTTTTTGAGGGAAGTCATATTGAAATAGGGCAGTCTTATTTCTGGGCATGTAAATATCATGAGGTCAGAAAGAGCAAGAGAGAATCTGATCCTGTAAATAGAGTGGTTTGAGCTGTCAGCATTGATGGGATCTCCAGTGGCATGAAGACACATCATCCAATGCACACTGAAGGAGTGCACTAAAGGAGCATCAGGTACCAGCTAACAAGACAACATCTAAATAAGGCACAGTAATTTCTATATGCTAAGAGTCTGAGAAACACAAATGAGCTTACAAAGTGCACTCAGGATGAGGAACTTGAGAGCTCAGGTTCATGAAAATTAGATTACTAGGATTCCAGATGAGAGCTGGCACTGAAAATAGACAGTAAGAACAGAGAATATCTATGCAAATCTGTGCAGATGTATTTTCAGGAAGTCTAAATTATGCAACTGTGCCCAAGTTACATGACTGATATAGACAACCAGAATCCTCCCTCAGGTATCCCTTGTGGTTACATGAGAAAATGACTCGTTAGACTGGTTTATTAAAGACAGCTCAACCTACCCTTCAAATGCTGACTTCAGTTTTTCACCCCAGATAGTTTTGCTGATCAATGCTTCAGATAGCTTCAGTCATATATTTATCTATATTTTTCTTATTTATATTTTTTACATATTGCAAGCTCTTGTAACTGAAATCAGTGTAATTCTGTTAACTTATCAGAATGAAAGTTCAGAAGCATTCTACTTATTTTCACCATTACCTTTCTCTAAGCTTGTGTCTCATCCAATACAACATTTTGGAATCTTTTTCTTTAGCTCTATTATCAGGAGATTTATATTTCTAACATTTTTTCCACATCATGATTCTAGTGTCTTCTATAGTAAGCCTTTACTAGTTCTTCACTGATATTCAGAAGCAGTCCATATTTAGAAATTTTGTAACTTAAGTAAGACAAAGTTCAATTTTTGTACCGACATGGAAATGATTAAGTGTGTCTGAGAGCTGATCAGTGAAGAAAAAGATTAGTTCAAGTCTTAATTTTTCAGAAATAAGAACAAGTAACATAATGGAAAGTGACCTGTGACTTTACCTACAGTAAATGATAATAGTAATATATCTGTAACAGGTATATAAAATTTTCCTTTGCAGATGAATTTAATGGAAAATTTAGCAAGTTATATTAGCTGGCACTTTTGCAGAAGCTTGTTACTTGATTTGAGTGAGCACGAACGTATCAAGTAGGCTCCAGAGTCTTGCTTTGCTTTCATTCCCAGAAGCAAGGACAGGATGTTTTATCACTAATGAACAAGTGATCTGATTAATGTATAATGATCCTTGCTAAAAATGATGTTAAGGGAATGTTAAAGTTGCATGACTAAGCACTGAGAGGCTCAGTCCCAGCACACTAAAATAAACAGACTAGATCTTCATGGACTCAAATAGGCTTTGGATCAGGTACTTTGAAAGTAAGAAAAATTAAATGCATGTATTCACAGGGTACTTATGCTGTGTATGAGTAGATATAGAACAAAAATAACACTTCAAATAGATGAGATATTTTTTACTCTCTTCTTCCCAGTTTTCAGGGCAACTTGAGTACTTTAATGAACTGTCCTGCCCCTACTCCCCCCCTACAAAAAACAGAAACCCAACAATTTGTCTTGATGCCTTGTGAAGGCTGACCTAGAACAGAGACTAGATGGAGCTAAAGTAAAGTAGGTATTTTAAAAGGCCTCAAATAGATCCACCTTGGGCAGCACAACCCAAAATGTGTAACAGGTCATGGGGTCTCATATTTTTATAAGTTTTGGTCCATTAGCATATTGGAGCTAATTTACCAATTACATCTTTAGCCCATGAAGTCCCATCCTCCTTGTTTTCTCTCTTTTTTCTCTCTTCAGTCCACTGTTGTTTATGCTCTTGGGCCTGGGATCTGGATTGGTTATCCTTGGGTCCCCAGCTAGAGAAGGAATTGTTTTGTCTACTATTCTGTGGAGAGAGCTTACTATCCCCTAATATGAAGCCTAGACTTACACACCAAAGCAGAATAGAATCTGAAAAATAGAAAAGCTAAAACCTGAGGCATCAGTCTAAACAGAAAGGTTTAGCAGAAATAAAAATGTCTGAGAAGAAGTATTTATACTGGGTTCTTCCACTGAGTCTCTCTAGATGCATCTCTGTGGTGTTCAATACTTGGGCTGCCTGCCAACACAGAGGGAGCAGCCTGAATGCAAGTGTGGAGGCAGGCAAAGAGCCTGGGGTCATTGCATAGTGGAGGAGTTGGAAGGGACCTACAGGGATCTATGAATTCAACATCCAGCCCATCACAGGACATCCTCAGGAGCCACACTATGTGCCCCAGAGTATTGTCCAAACACTTCTTGAACTCTGTCAGATTTGGTGCACACAGCACTTGAGGTGAGGCCACCCTAGCGCAGAGCAGCTCACGTGCCCTCAACAATCCCCTCCCTTGCCTGGCTGGTGATGTTGTGCCTGATACAGTCCAGGACATTGGATTAAACGTTGGCATTAAATAACCACAGTCAGATTGTTTTGCTGCTATTTAAACAAAAAAAAAAAAAAATTACTCACTAAATAAACTTTCTTTTTGGGTCAACTCTTCTGAAATGTGAAAATTCCCCATATATATGAAATATTTCTAATGTAGACCAACTCTGCTGAGCTTGATCCGTCAATGAAAGGACTGATCATTTACCATTACTTAATCTCATAATAATAAACAAATCAAGGAAGGCCAGACAAAATACCTGCATACAGTTTACTGTAAATAAAATAAAATACTTATATATAAATAAAGTGATGGGATTTTACCTGATCTTATAGGATATCTTCCTGTCAGGAAAGCTGCCCTGCTTGGAGTACAAAGTGGGGCTGCTGCTATATGCTGAGTAAGTGTCACTCCTTCCTCTGCTAGCCTGTCAATATTAGGGGTTCTGGAAAAACACAAGCAGGTGAAAAAAAACCCCCAAAGATGGTTATTTGGATACAGACATGGTAAGAACAAGGCATCTGAGGCAAGAACTATCAGGAAAATCCAGTTAAAATTTACTGTATGTAAATTATCAAATGCATGATGGGGTTGCAATTGAAAATACTATCATGTCAAATATTTTTACATGAGCCATCTGAACAGAGACACTGTAACATTGCAGCAAAAATATTTTCCTCCACTTTCTTCTATTCCTCATGGCCAGTGTAAAACTGCAACATCTGGACATATAGTATTGCAACTCTTTTTAATCTGTTTCTTGACCAGAACTGTAATTTTTACAACATTTTTGCTTCAGTAATGAGGGTAAGAGAGACTAGAGAAAGGTTGTGTTTCCTTGCTCCCTACTTGGTGCCTCTTCAGTCTCTCTTCAGCAAAAGCTTTTTGGGGTAGGGATAATGTCGTGTAGTGCTATAAGCTATTAGAGCAGATTCAAATGATTATGACTCTGTGTTATGTTCTATATTAACAATATCTACATGTCTGACATTATTATGTCTGCTATATTAGACCCAGGGGCACAACCTAGCTTCCATATCTGTATGGGAAACTTGTCTGCGAACTGGCTCATCATGCAGATTAAAATTGGGTCCTGCAGGAAGAAATCCTGTGTCCTTGGTTCTACAGATAAAAATTACTAATGCAGACTGGCCAGCAGCTGCAGCATGCTCTAATAGCTCTCTGACCCTGGAGATTAATGACCATGACCTCAAGGCACACTAGTGCTCCCATCATCTAAGTCTGAATAGTCAGAAACATTAATTTTCCAATGGAATTATTTTCTACCTGTAAAGTCACCTACTGATAACAATCGCTAAGATGAAAATTCATCATATTCCAAAAATCAAATTCCGAATTCTCTCAGCAAAGAATATAGATCTTGAGGTTGTTCTGGTGCCTGTGAGGGGAGTGATCCAAGCATCAATGTTCTATATATTTTTCCTTGTTTAAAACCAGAAGCCGTAACTTGATTTGTATTTTTTTTGAGTTATGAGAAGATTTTACTTCTAACTAACATCAGCAGGAACAAGAGCATTTAACATTTCACAGACAGTGCTTTTAGTCTGAATGTTTAATTTAACTTTGCACCACTGAAACACAATGTCTAGATATCACTTGCTCTGTTTACACAACCATCACATCTGAGCTGGTAGCAAGAAACATCCCAGGGCACACTGATGTATTATTCAAGTATATTAACATTTGCTTTAATTAATACATTGACTACTGTATGAAGACAAATTAAGGGCAAATATCAGCTCTTTATTTCCAGTTAGTTAACAACAAGCTTGTCCCAAGTCAAGACTGCTTCAAAATACATTTAATTCATAGTACTTGTGTCATGTCTATTCTAGAAGAAAATTGTTGATTATACTTTAGCTCTCTAGAGCTAAAGTATAATCCTTATACCAACCAACCAACCGTTATTTGGTTGGTTGCTCAATCCTCTGTTTATAATGCAACTTTTCAGCAGGATAACTGCATTAGCTAAGTCTTTGGTCAAAAAAAGAAAATAAGGATTGAGTATTTAAATCCCTGGAAAAGTTATTAACTTTAGTTACTCATAAAAAAGCCTAAATCAAACCTCTGAATGTTCTGAGATTTTTAATTTTAAAAATCCATTGAAAACTAAACATAAAGCTATGACTCCACCAAATTATCATCCTACCTTAAGGTTTTGTTCCCATAACATCCCAGGTCTCCAATACCAAGATCATCAGCCATCAGTAAAATTATATTGGGCTTTGAAACACTGTGTGTTGTGATACTGTTTATGGCACACTGGCAAATTATTAGAAGTAAAAGGAGCCCCATCTTCCTCCTGGTGTGTAAGAACAGATGGAAAATATAATAAACAGATTGTTAATCTAATTTATTCTTATCATTACACTTTGCATAGTAAAAGAGAAAACAAAAGATTGAATGCTTTTAGATGGTGTTTTTTTTCTTGGAATTTTTTAAAAGCATTTATTCTCTCAAACTTCTTAAAAATAAAAATGCGTATTTTAGTATATGGGTAATTTTTCCTTCCACTCCTTTACACAGATGAAGCCTTAAAATAAAGACAAATAAAGAACTAGGTACAACCTCAGTGGCAATTTTGCAAATACATATGCACTACTATAAAGCAATAAATCATAAGAGCTAACAAAGCTTGGGGATTTTTTTACCTTTTGTGTGTATGTTTGCTTTTTTTTGTTTTGTTTGGCTTTTTTTTGGTTAATTTTTTTTTGGTTGGTTTGTTTTTCTTCCCAGCTACAAATGTTATTTGAATAACACAGAATCTGAAATAATTTAGGACCTAAACCTCCAAGGTTCACTGCAAAAAAAAAGTTAATCAATTCTACTAACAAAGTAAATTACTGAGTTTTTCTTCAACAATGGAGAAAAAAACTCAGTTGAAGTTTCTGGAAAGTTATCAATATTATGGAAAAGAGAGTGAAAAGATGCACTATGAAATTATTGAAAGGAGTGTTTAAGAAAAGGTCTTCACAAACATTACAAATACCAGCGTCTATAGTAAAATCAATTAAAAATATTTTCTATCATATCACAATGTTCTATAAACAATTCCCATGCCATATCCAACCTAAAACAGGAAGAAGGATGTATAGTACACAACACAATATACCATTATACGCTTTTATAGTGAAAGCAGAGCATTTGCAGATGTGCAGGATATGAATGCTATTTTACCTTAATCAGAACTTGTTGAATCGCTGTGTTAAACTGCACTGACCATGTCCTGGCTGAAACTGAGTGCCTTCAGGCTGGAATGGACTGTGCCAGGCACACACATCAAAAAGAACAGAGACTCTGTTCTGTCTCTTAGTAAGATTCCCATCTTTTCTGGATGCAGACAGCCTTTTTAAAATGCAGGCAAGGCATGAGTCACACCTGAACTCTCGGACAAGAGAGTGGAAGAAACCAGAACTAAGAAACAAATTTGTAAGTGAGAGAGTAGAAAAAGGAGAGACAATAATTTCCAGAGAGAATGCAGATAGCTGGTCAAGAAAGAAAAATCTTATAAATCAATGAATTATGGTAGATAATGTAACTGGAGAGAAGATAAAGAAGTCAAAACTGAAAGACCTGGTAGAAAGAGACAAGACATTAAGGGAGACAGATTCACAAAGAAATGAGATGGGTAAAATTATTTATAGAGGAGACAAAATAGGCAGAACTGCAAGATTTTACTCTGACATTAATAGCAAGAATGGGAGTTGATTCCCAGCTGGAATGAGAACTGCAGGCAGAAATGAGGAGAAATGGAACAGTAATAAAGAAACTGGAAGGGATGACAGTGAATAGGAAAACAAAACTGAGGAACAGAGAGAACAGGGAATGTCTGGGAGGAAAGAGCTGAGGAGTTATGATTATGGTCAATGAAGAGAACTGACTGGAAAGAATCTGGGAAGATAAGATTTGGGACTAACATAAGTGAGAAGAGAACAAAATAGTAGGGATCAACCAAAACAGACTGGGACTTTTGATTCCCAAATTCATTATTGCTATTCTGTCAGGAAGTATAGGTACAAAGAGGGCTTTAACTTCTTTAGCATATTAACTATGTTTTACTGCTTAAGTTACATTTTATAAACACTTTGGTGATCGTAGTTCTGGCTTAGACTTCATCCAAAAGCCTCTAAAGATCCCAGCCTTATCACTGCAGTATATTGTTCTCTTGTTTATCCCATGAAAAGCAATATACTTCATTTCAGACATGGAAAATAAATACACAAGCTGTAAATTTAAAAGACCAAATGGATTTCTGCATAGGATACATCCACTTCATCCTTCATCAAATAACCATACTAATGAAGTTGTGTAGCCCCTGCTATGGTGCAGACTTGCCTTTCTTCCCTGAAAGGCCAAATAAAAGTGATTTGCTTCCCATGCATTCCAAGAGAACAACTAACTCCCAAACTGACCCAAGAGGACAGGAACAAACTGCAGCCAGATCTTATGTTCCTACTCTTATGTTCAAACTACAAAGGTCTCAAAGGACAATGACAATGGGCATGTTGAAAAAGGGAGCATTATATGTTGGTGACATTATGCAGAGTTGCATGGATGCTTGCAAGACCCACAGAAGATAACCTCATTTAAAACCTGGATTTGTCATTTTGTAAATCAGCCAAAAGGTTTTTGAATGTTGTCTCTGATACATTACTGCTGGATACTTTACTCTGAAGGAATATCTGTAGATACTCACACATTGAGCTATTTGCCTTCACCTGATATAATGTCCCTGAAGTGAAATCAACAAGGAAACAGGGAAAAAATAATCCAAACATTTTCTCTGGTGTACTCCTTCTGCAGCAGATTTTCATATGTCTTGAAAGGATGTGCATAGAAAGGAAGAAGAATCAGATGGATGAAATTGAGTGGAACAGACAACAACAAAGAAATTCAAAGGAGCTAAAAGGGAAGGACGTGAGAAGAATGAAGTTCTGAGAATGCTGAGGGCTCTCTGTATTACACCAGGGTTTCTCCTGGTGAAAACACAGGCATATGTAGACCTAACAGAAAAATGATAACACAAAATCAGATTAAGCTTCCAGCTAACTAATGTTTCCTCTCCGTCTGGAGCCAATTCAAATGCTTAAGAAAATATTTTTAAAAAAGCCGGGCAAAAATTCTTCTACTTGCACAGCCTTTTAGCTTTTGGCAGTCAGCATTAAAGGCATTTTGGACAGGAGAACATTGTAATGAATATCTCTCCATGGATCTTTTAACCTTCATGGATTTGTTACTCTTTATTTTTAATTGATTAACTTGTGGTTTGGTTTCTTGCATTGAAACAATTTGATTTTAGTTTTTTTACTTCCGTAACACTCTTTAGATGTTCTTTCAGTAGGCATCAGCTTTGAAGGCTTGTGTTTCACATTCATCTGGCAACTTTTTTCCTTCTTTTTTGCATGTGGGGCACGTAAGTGCAAGTTTTAACCTCTGCTTCACTTTCTCCATTATATAATAGAAAAGTAGCTTCTTCCTTTCTAAGGTGGCTGGCTGATAAGTCGAAGAGATTCAAGAGGTGCCTAATCTCCCACAACAATAGCCACATAAGAATTTGTGTTTCACATATCCTATTCCAACCTACAACACTTAAATCACTGTATAGGAATCTCTAGACACGAACACATATACACACAGATGTGTCCATAGGCACATATGCACATATACACGTGTATGTGGGGGCATATACATGTCCTACTTTTTCTACATATCTCCAAATTGTATTCTTGGGATTCTAATGCATATTTTCTATCAGGATTAAAAAAACTCAAAGTATAAATATGTAAGAATAAATGAACGAAAGAAAAGCCCCAGACAGATCCACAATCCAATACTTCACCAAACACTTCTTTTAAGTTTTTATTTTCTTCATTAAAAAATGCTGGTTAAAGAGGTTTGGGGGTTTTGGGGGGCTTTTTTTTTTTTTTTTGTTTGGTTTTTTGTTTCGTTGGTTTTTGGGTTTGTTTTTGTTTTTTTTTTTTTTTTTTTTCCATCAGAATAACTGACTCAAGATATGGCTGTCATAGAGTTATAGAATAACCTAAGTTGGGGACCTACAAGGATCATTGAAGTCCAACTTCTGGCCCCACACAGGACATCCCCAAGAGTCACACCATTCGCCCATGAGTATTGTCCAAACACTTCCTGAACTCTGTCAGGCTTGATGCTGTGACCACTTCCTTAAGGAGCCTGTTCCAGTGTCCAACCACTGTCTTCGTGAAGAACCTTATAATATCCAATATAAACCTTCCCTGGCACAGCTTCAGGCCATTCTCTCGAGTCTTGTCACTGATCACCAGAGACATCAGTGCCGCTCCTCCTCTTACCCTCACAAGGAAGTTGTAACTGCAGAGGTTTGCCCTTGGACTCCCATCTCCAGGATGAACAAACCAAGTGATCTCAATCACTCCTCATACAGCTTCTCCTCAAAGCCCTTCACCACCTTTGTTGTCCTCCTCTGGATTCTCTCTAATAATTTAATGTGTTCCTTATATTGCAGCACCCAAAACTGCCCCCAGCACTCGAGGTGAGGCCACCCCAGCGCAGAGCAGGACAATCCCCTCCCTTGCCCAGCTGGCCACGCTGTCCCTGATGCCCCCAGGACAGGATTGGCCCTCCTGGCTGCCAGGGCACTGCTGGCCCATGTTCAACTTGCCACTGATCAGGACCACCAGGTCCCTTTCCTGGCACTGCTTTCCAGCCTCTCCTTCTCCAGTCTGTCTCTACATCCAGGATTGCACCATCCCAGGTTCAGAATCTGGCACCTGCCCTTATTGAACTTCATATACCTGGTGATTGCCCTGTCCTCTCATTTGTTGAGGTCTCTGCAGGGTTTCTCTGCCTTCAAAGAAGTGAACAGCTCCTTCCAGTTTAGCATCATTGGCAAATTTAGTTAGTATACTTTCCAGTCCTGCATTGTTTATGAAGATGTTGAAGAGTACTGGGCCTACAATGGAGCCCTGTGGAACCCCACTAGTGGCAGGTCACCAGTCACTCCATTCCCTGAAACCCCTTGCACCTGACCCATGAGCCAGCTGCTCACCCGTCACATGATGTGTTTATCCAGCTGTGTGCTGGATAATCATCTGACTACTACAGACACATGCATTTTTACAGGAACAATTAAATGAAAGTCTTTGAAACATCTCTTCCCAACTGAATCATCTCAGCATTTTTATTAACTTTGATTAAGCAATTTATCTGCAAACTACTCTTTTAATGTAACAGAACCCTTTGAGAAAATGCTTAATATACTTTATCCTTGAAGGTACGGTATTTTCTGATGAAATAAGCAACACTTAA